CAGATTGAATAAATTCAACCAGAAGCCTGCTGAGAAATTCTCGTCAAGTCCATTTTTAGCTTTGATTGGATAGAAAAGTGACAGGGTTAAAAACTTAAAATAATGATAGGGTTAGAAGACTTGATCTTTAAAGACAGGAGGACGTTGAATCTGTCCTCTGCACCAGGATAAGAGACAGTTTACCCTACACCAAAAAGGAGAACCCCTTTTTTAAAAAAAGTTGAAACCTCCGTGTGGCCTAAACTAAAATAGATTCTGGAGTATTTATCATACTGTCTATATTTTTTTTTATAGCTACTTAGAATTTTTCATATTGTAGTGGCAGTAGCTCAGTTTGTAGGGACTTTAGTTTGAAGTCTGAAGAGTCTTCTGCTGAAGGACCAAATTATGAAATTTCTTTCATGTTTGTCGTTGGGCCTTTTCATGCCCCACTTTTAGAGAAAGGACAGGGTATAGAGTCAGAAACCAGGGGGGAGAGCGAGCGGGGAACGACACCCTGGAAAGGAGCCCCAGGTCAGACCCAAACACGGGGCCGGGGCCGCACGCCTCGGGGAGCACAGCCTCTGCACACAGGGCGCACACTCCAACCACTTTTCCACCCGTGCCCCAAAGTATGGAATCTTTGGAATTTTTTGGTTGCTGGAGAGGTGCCGATTAGACCCTGAGCAAGGCGCAGAACCCCCAACTGCTCAGGTGCTCTTTCTTGTGTGCAGCCCCTCACTCTGACGTCTCTCTGTTAGTGCATAACTACAGCATCCTGTTTGTGTATTCCTGGACTTTGCATAATGTTTGTGTAGCAAAACACAGTGAAAACAATTAAGATTTAACCACAGGAATTAATGAGGTAAATCATGTTTTTCTTCTTCTTCAGCACTGAGAAACTACCTCGCTGGGGGCATCTTAACTGTACACGCGTCACTTTCTCTTCTTTCTGGGGTTGACCTCTTAGTGAATCGAGAATTAACAGTAATTAAGATCAGTCCTCTAAAATTACAAACTCTAGCTCAGGCTTTATTTACTGCAATTTAAGGGTCAATTGGTATCAAGGTTTGCATGTGAATGGTGTGCTTTAACACTTCAAGGCTGTGATGGATTATTATCATTACCTTGGACGGTTAATAAAGTTTTGTTTTTGACTTCTGTCTTAGCCACGAGAGTCATTTGCGACTGTCATAGATTTTCTAATGAAGTCTAGTGAGAGCTTAAGAAACATGTAGGGGCCCCAGCTCCTCGAGGGCCGTCGGGGACTCAGGGAAGAAGTTGTGAAGAGGGCCCAGCGGAGGAGAGAAACCTTCAGGTTATACTTCATACTTTGAGCCAACAGTCCATATGATGACAGTAATCAAAGAGAGTGACTGTTTGTGAATGCTGCGTTTCCTGTCTTTACAATCGTACAGCGCTGTGGACCCTCAGCCTTGTTCGTGTTTCCACACATTGACCCTCAGCGGCCACCCACTGCTTCCTGTTCCAGCTAACAATAGACGTGTTGACTTCCCACAGCGCTTACCAAGCAAAAACGTCCTATCAGGATCAATTAATATTAAAGCCAATAGCATCAAATCTGCTGAAACACGGTGTAGCAGCTGTGACTATAGTCCACATGTGGGCTATAAATACATCCACAATCATTGTTTCCATAAGCAGTGTAAAAATAAATCCACAAGCTGTTAATGTCGACATGTCTGGATGATTAAATAGTAATAATAATACATAGTAGGGCTCTCGGATTCAAATAAACAAACAGACATATCGATTTGATGCAACGCCACAGTGTTCATAAAAGGCAAACTAGAGGGCGCTGTTTCATCACATGGAGATTAAATACTTGTGTGTGACTTGTTGACTCGTTACAGACAGCACAGAAAACACAAAAGTTCAGCAGAAATGTTGTCATGTTGTAGAGAAGATCTGGGGCGACATTGAGATATTTCAAGACACGATATATTATTAAATGTTTCCCACATCACCATCCCTCAAGTATGACAAAACAACTAACACCCTAATTATAGTTGTATAGAATAAGACATGTTCATAATTATATTTAAATTCAGTTGGCACACTGTTGTATTAGATTGAAAATAATACTCCAAATAAGACCAAAGTATGGAAGTTGGTCTGTTAGGCCACTTGAGAGCTGCAGAGGCTCCCTTGAGCTAGGCACCAAACCCTAAACAGCTCTGGCGCACTTCCTGTGTAGCAGCCCCGCTCTGACATCTCTCCACTACACGTCCACAGCTCCTGTTTGTCCATGTGTGAGATTCAGACCTGTGTGTGTGTGTGAGAAGCATGTCTCTCAATAACCTCAGTAAACCGGAATTTCTGCGAGATTAATAAAGTATTTAAAATAACAAATCAATATAATGAAAAGCTTTGATTTTAATGTTTTTTTTTTGTTTTCAGTCACAGCACATGTGCTGATATCAAACCTGATGCTTTCTTATAATTTGACACTTTTTATAGGTGCTACAAATGTTTGGACATTGAGGTTGTCGCAGGTCCAGTTTGACCCGTTTCAAATCAGGGAACATGCACTGCAAAAATTCAAGTATGTGTATATTAGTTTCTCATTAGGAGCACCGGTGGCCGAGTGGTTAGGGTGTGCACACCATGTACAGAGGGTACAGTCCTCAATGCAGGTGGCCCAACCTGTGGCTCCTTTCCCACATGTCATTACCCTCTCTCTCTCCCTCTCCCTGATTTCTGACTCTATCCACTGTCCTAACTCTAAATAAAGGCATGAAAAAGTTAAAAAATAAACCTTTAATAAATACATCTCATTACACTTATTTTAAGCCACAATCAGCTGATAAGCTGACAAGTCCAGATACAAATCTTATTTCCAGATTTAAAAGGCAAAAAAATAATTATTAATAGTCCATTTATTAATGGACTATGTAAGGGTTAATTTTCATTCTCAGATAAATGATAATTCATACAAATAATCATGAATCCCAATAATGGGTTAAACAAAAAGCCTACAGAAAAACACATACACAGGCCAAGAGTGTGTATGAGTATTACAGACGAGGGTATTCTAATTATCTTAATTTTTGTTTTACCTTAAAAACCTTAAAAGGTAACAAATAATATTTTAAGGAGCGGCTGTCACTCAGTGGTAGAGTCGGTCACCGGGGTTTCGATCACAGCTGCAGTCACGTGTTGTCTCCTCGGACAAAACACTGCATCCCTCCTGCTGCTGCGTCATGTGTGTGAATATATAGGTGTGACAAGCTCATGTCCATTTACCATTTTATGATTGAACATAATGTGTTTTTATTTTACACATAGAACACAAAGCTGTGACGGCCGGTTGCCAAAGTGTTAGAGTGCATTTGGTTGTTAATAATGTGGTTTTAAGATGAATTATAGGACATTGATTTCTGCTGCCTCTGTACACGAGCAGCTGATCTGCCATCTGAACAAACTGAGGGAAGTTTTAGTTCGGACAAACCTGAGGCCACATGTATTGACCACTTAAAGAGAGCAGTGATAACACCTTTTGTTGTATTTATTTTGGTGCATATTATAACACTATAAAAGATGATAATGACATGACACAGAAGAACTCCCAGGAACATTTAAACCTTGAACACTTTTTGTCCTGTATAGTTTTCTATGCATGTTTTATTAAATTATTATTAAAGGGTCCTTCTGTATAATCAAAGACATCAGGGCACTTCATAAATATTCAAACTGAAAACACTCCCCACAGATGTTCAGACACAAACGCTCTTTATTTGATCATGAAGCTTGAAGTGAAGCTTTATCAGTGAACTGTATGAACACACGCAGCCTGGAGTCATGACAGAGTGATAGCTGTATAGGTCATATGAAATCCCACAGGATGTTGAACATTGATTTGCAACGTATTAGCCTAAATGAATAAAACAGACACATTCAGAAGCCACACATCTTAAGCAATGAACACCTTAGTTTCAATGATGAACTTAAAGCTCCTGTGAGGAGTTTGTAGCTGCTTCTGAAACAGACTGAAAATTAAAAGTGATGCCTCTTTTTGACCTTCAACAGTAAACAAGACCGTCATCAACACGATTGACGGTTTCTTTTTTGTTATTTTTAGAGCTGTTACTGCTGTCAGGTGGGGGGTATGTGTCAGACGAGATGATTTACAGCACGCTGTGGTAACTGCCTCAAATTCACACGGAGTGATACATTTGACTCATAAAAGAAACAGGATATGATGTTTTTTTGTGAGTAAACCCTAACTACAGATGTACAGGACAAGATCAGTGAACAGATAAGAGGTACTGCTGTGGTCACAGGGGCTGAAAACGACACAGACCCCCATCCTCACAGAGGCTTTAACACCAGATTAGAAGGTCTGACAACCCAATTAATTTTACCCTATAACTGCTTAAATATCAATAATAATTATCCTGGTAAGAATTATATATTTTAGTTATTTATGAATAGGCCTAAATAATATTGAAATACAACCATGAATGATTGCTTTATGCTTTAACTAGTAGAGCTTAGTTTAAAATAAGGCCTTCTGCGGTTGTTAATCTGAAATAAAACTCTAATTTCTTAGTTTTCCTTCTCCTGAAAACAGCTTCATTTAGCAGTTTCTGTGAGTATTAATTCTCCTCCATCAGCACCGCTCTTCCTCTATCCTGTCCAAGCATTTCTCTCCCGGAGGAGGCAGCGAGCATCCGTCACGTGACGCCGCGTCCACCAATGGCGTTTCAGTAATCTAACTTTAGTGATAAGGGAATCAGAGTAAAGAGCGAGCGGACTGAGGGAGTTTCACTCTGAGATCTTCATGGTCATCATCACGCTCGCAGGCCTATTCACCACAGATCCGCCGCTCTGAGGCAGCATTGTTATAGACAGTGGCCATCCGGATTTGTGTCTTTTTTTTTTTTTTTTTTTTTTTTTACATTTATTTTGTCCTCCTCAGCGGCCGCTGCAAGGCTGCAGCGACAGCTACATCCAGATTGAAACTATCAGACAATCTTCACCGACTGGCTTTTGATCAGATGTTGGGAGATAAATCTCACGGTAAGTCTCTTTCACACAGCGTGTTCACAGCTTCAGTGTCCGTGGAAGAAATGACAATTAATAATGTTAGAGTCATGAAACCAATTTAAACTTCAATCAAGGTAGATGAAAAAGAGCGTGTAGTTTACAAAAAAGGATCCCTCACCTGATTTTTACAATCTATTTAAATTAGTAGTTGTCAAATGAGAATTAGACTATCAGATTATTTTAGCAGAAATTACAGCAACAGTTAGGCCCACCTGAAGCAGCGAGCCACCTTAGAATAAGACGACTCTTTCATTTTTAAAGTAGGCCTTTCAGTTCAATTCAATTTGAAACCTCATTTAAAAAAGAAAAGTTGTGCAAAAATAATAACATCATATATCATTTAAAGAGACGGTAATTTACTCGCAATAGCACTTAAACATAGCCTAACACTTTGTAACACAACAAGAGTTTCAAATGAAATACTCGTTTAAGAAGGAAATAGCGATAATAAATAAATAAATAAATAATTACAATAATAATTTTCATCTTATTCTGATAACCTTTTAAGATGTTCTTTTTCTTTTTCTGATATCTGCCGCTTAATACTCACTCCCTCTGTGTGTGTGTTTATGTGTGTGTCAGTACATATCTGTTCAGTTCAGTTCATTGAAACTCTCTTTCATATGACGTGCTGTGAGCAGCAGTGAAGTAACCCGCTGCGTGTCACTAAGCTCCGCTCCAGACTCCAGGCTGAGTTTAGCACCACAGCATGGTGTGCTACAGGCCTATTTTATTTATTTATTTAATTGTACTGTAATTTCCCATACATTGGCTGAACCTTCTGGGTGAGATGTTTGTGTTTTCTTCTTGCCTAATAAAGGCTTCACCTGCCATCTGTGGTCGGTGCTTGCTAAAAGCAGCACATCGTCCACGCAGCTCTAGCTGATGGATGGATCTAAGAACAGAAATATGACCACGTGTGAACGTGACAAATGATCGTAAAACCACCTACAATTACTTTTTAAACATTTCTCGAAAAAAACATATCAATAAAAAGTTGAAGATTAAAAATTGCTCAGCAGATCCAAAATCAAACGAAAGTGTTCAAATGTATGAATATAAAATCACAGAGAGAATGAATTGTGATTTTTAAAATGTTTGTGGCGTGGATTCATTGTGCGCGCTTGTCTTCTCTTCCTCGCTGCTGTTTTTCTTTTTTGGTTTTTAAATATCCTGCACGTAACCTATATCTGACGTGATGTGCGTGTACCCCCAACTGCTTTAAAGGAGAAAAAAGTCTATTTATGGAGGCAATAATAGCTTACCCTTTCATTTCGAGCATATAAACGCAGCAGTTATAGCGATCTTTTTCATTTCTAATTTCGTCATTTAATTAATCAGGCTGTTGATTTTTTTATTTGGTTTGTAAGCCCAGAATAACTCACAGCCTATAGTGTGACTCTTTTAATGATGCCTGAAATAATATCCCATCATTCAGATTTACTAAATCTAGAGTCATATTTAGGACATAGACTCAAATGTTCGAGTTCGTATGGCCTTAAATTTAAATGTCCATAAACAGGATTTTCCTTCTTATATGACGTATATAATATATGCATATAATTATAAGTAAGCCTATATAATATAATCGTTCAATTAAAAAAACATTGCTATAGGATATAGAATCGAATGAAGAATAAATATGGAATAAATGAAAGACAGAGGCGTTTTACAAATACATTTCATTGAAAATAGTTTCAACAACAAAAATAGTTTTCACATCAGACCTACTGTAGGCTATGTGTAAAAAATATGAAAAACAAGACTATGAAGCTATTTCGCAAAAATAAAACAGCCTAGAAAACGATATTCGGATGACGAGTATTTTTTTAATATTGAATCATAACAGAGGCGCAATGTTTAATTTTAATGTGATAAAGGAAAATTCCATCAGTCATCTGAAATACGAAACATGTATTTAAATCTTCTTAAAAGTCAACGTTAGGTGTGTCATGCATTTCTTATGTCGCTATATCTCTTTATAAACGAGTATAGCGATAGATAGGGCATTATTTGTATTTTACTCTTTAGTCTGTCAGTTGGATTAATGTGTGTGTGTGTGTGTGTGTGTGTGTGTGTGTGTGTGTGCAGCAGGTGTGACTCTGAAGGTTATGGAATACACATACGACGATGACCTGGAAGAGCTGTGTCCTGTGTGCGGAGACAAAGTGTCCGGCTATCACTACGGTCTGCTCACCTGCGAGAGCTGCAAGGTAACAAACACGGAGGGACCCGGAGAAAAAATACATTATTTATTATTTATTATTCATTTTAACCTTTAATGCATCGATTTCTAAAAGAAGTGAATTATTAGTGGCCGTTCACATTCGTATTTTGGTAAAATAGATTACCACCAACTATTATTCTTGTATTTATTATGCATGCCGAAATGTTTTTTGTTTTTTTTTAATTCCCGTAACTGGCAGAATTTCAAGAGATTGCTCCGTGTTTCTTTTTTGTTTTGTTTCTATCGTAAATTTATTATTGACTTTATTTATGATAATTCATAAAAAAAAACGTTGCGTTCTCCCGCAATGCTTTCTCAAAGGCATATTACTGAGGTTGAAGTATTCAAACGAGGTGCATTTTTCTGAAATGTCCTGTCTCTTTTCTAACAGGGCTTCTTCAAGAGGACAGTGCAGAACAACAAAAGGTACACATGTGCGGAGAACCAGGAATGTAAAATAGACAAAACCCAGAGGAAGAGGTGTCCTTTCTGCCGCTTCCAGAAGTGCCTCAGCGTCGGGATGCGACTAGAAGGTACAGGTCACTCTATACGTATACCGCAAATAATAATCATTTTGGGCCTTTTGTTTTTGCTAATATTAGGGGAGACCAGGGTAAATTGTAACAAGGGGTAGCCTAATTGTAAAATACTCAATCCCTCCAATAAGAAACAAGCTAGTGATGACACTCTCCCTCTGCCTGATATAAAGAAGCAGGATCATGTCACCATGATAAAAGTTTAATACAAACATCATCTTGAGGTTTATCTTTTTTTTTTTTTTTAGCATTATTCTATTAATGTTAAAAGTTCAAACTATGATACATTTTAATTTCCAGACCAATAGTAAAAAAAAATTGTCATCAACAATATGCTAACATATTCTTGCTAGGTTGCTCATTAGCTGATCAGTTTATTTTTAATAAAATCTGGGCTACCTTTGACTCAAATAAAATAACTAAGATTTATTAACCACCAGAATAGTAGCATAGCTTTCTGCTAAACATGAAATCTGCTTTGAATTCAGAAAATACCTGAAATCTAACATTACAAGATAAAACAGCAGAAATGTGATTAATTTAATGTCTGCTTTCATTTAAGTTACAATCAGTTAATATGACATTAAAATTGTCTTGTCTTTTTTTAGTTTATTAGTATTTTTTAGATTATGTATATACAATACATACATTCCACTTTTAATGTACGGAAACACACACACACACACACACACACACACACACACACACACACACACACACACACACACACACACACACACACACACACACACACACAACAAAAGTTACAATTGCCCCAGTCTTTATGTGACTGGTGTATGATGTATTAATTGCATTAATTAATGTTTAAAATGTAAAACTATGTAGGCCTATTTTCTAGTTTCCATTAAAGCCCATTATCATGGAATAAAATATATAATACCCTTTTTTTTATTATTTCTGGGCTGGTGGCTCCCATATTGTGTCCAACACATGGGATGAGATTTAATTCCCAGACAGCAATGCAGGAAAGCACCTGCTTCCGTAGCAGAGAAAAGGACACATTCTTGACTTACTGATAAAGCCCGGGAGACTCCCCTGTTTTAAATCAAAAGCTCTATTTAGGCTACAAGAAGGAGGAGAGCTGCACAGACTCTGGGGAATCTTCTCAGCCCTTAAAGGGAAGCAAAAAATGGCCAGCATGTCTGTTGTTTACTCTGTTGGATACCAGGATACTGGTGGAAAAGGGTGATTATTTTACTAATGCTCATGAAGGAGTGCTGCACAGAGGATCTTGGCAATAAAGGATATTTTAATAGGGTTTCATTTGTAAATCTGTTTTCCACATCTCCTCTCTTGTGTGACAGCGGTGCGCGCAGACCGTATGCGTGGGGGGAGGAATAAATTTGGCCCAATGTACAAGAGAGACAGGGCCTTGAAGCAGCAGAAGAAGGCTTTGATACGATCCAGCGGCTTCAAGCTGGAGAGCGCAGTTCCTCCACCGACCTCTCCTCTGCAGACCGACTACAGCTTCAGCGGCACCCTGCACAGCCTGCCCACCATCTCCAAAAGCCTGCTCCCCTCCACCCCGAGCTCCATCGCCCCCACAGACTACGAGGCCAACCTCTATGGACCCCCCTCCCTGGGCATGGCCATGCAGTCCCACGTGTCCATCACCACTCAGTACCAGTACACAGCCTTCCCCAGCAGGGCCATCAAAGCTGAGTGTCCCGACTACACCAGCTCCCCCGAGTCTCTGACAGGATACACCTACCCAGACATGTACCCCTCTGCCTCACCACAGCCCCCCAGCCTTCCTCCGCTGGTGCTGGAGCTGCTGCGCTGCGATCCAGACGAGCTGGTGGTGCAGAATAAGATCGTGACTCACCTGCAGCAGGAGCAAGGGGGCCGCGGCCGCCTGGACAAGCCCAGCAACTTCAGCCTCATGTGTCGCATGGCGGACCAGACCCTCTTCTCCATAGTGGAGTGGGCTCGGAGCTGCATCTTCTTCAAGGAGCTCAGGGTGAGTCTCATATTCTGAATCTTCATACTGACACATGAACACATGCATTTACTCCTCCTCCAAGTTTTGTTGTGTCACTCAAACATCAACCCTGGCTTATTCTGATCGAGCACAGTCCATCATTTTTTGTATAACATCCTTTCAAACAGTGACATTAGTTGAACCAGTTAATAGGAATTTAACTTTTGTTCACACATTGAGAAAGTTTTTTCAGGAGTTTAATGAAAGTTTAAAAGCAGCTTATGTGACTAGAAACAATGAGAGAGAAGCCATTCAGAATTATGTGTCCCTCTTTTTTTTGGCTGTTGGGCTTTTTTTTTTAACTTCCTAGTTTATCCGCCTGTGTAGAGTGAAATCATCCAAAGTATAACAGCGTTATTAACTTATATTTTTCATGTTAGAAATTCCATTATTTTGCATTTTATTTAAAAATTGTTTGCTTTTATTTAGAATTTTTGTACTGTCTCAAGCTCAAGGTTTACTTCCTGTTTGGAGACAGGCCTGCAGTAATTAATGAGTGACATCACTTGTTTGTTATTATTATTATTATAATTATATATTACAGCGTTAACCATATTGTTATATGGTTAACGCTGACAGCCCTGATATTGATTGTTTTGTTGTGTTCAGTAATGACTGACCTGAACAAAGACAGATGTTTTTATTTTTCATTCTTACTTCACTACATAATATTTACTGTTTTGATATTTCTGCTCTGAAAAAAAGCAACGATGCTGCAGTAAGGTTGAGCTGTGCTGGAATACAATCGGCCTTGTAAGGGTATCATTACTCACTGTTGTTCGCTGTTTGCTGAACAGCTGATCAGACTAGACACACACACACACACACACACACACACACACACACACACACACACACACACACACACACACACATTGGGATAGTAATTGGACATGAATCACTGTCTCACTCCATCATCTTTGTCGTTTGGTGGTTTTGTCTTTAGCCCCTTTTCAGACTGCCGAGTCAAGCTGGGATATTTATGTCCCTGTGATGTTTCGCCTTCAATCTGAATGTTGCTGAGGCGCAATGGGGGGATGGAGTGATCCCCCCTTTCCTTACTGTCTTGGGAGGTAGTAACAGAGGCGTTACAGGGGTGAGATGGGATCAGCTGAGTCAGCAGGGGGGCACAGTGCTGTGTGTCTATGTGGAGCCCCCTGCTGTGCCGTGCTTCTGCTTCTGCGCTGAAATGCAATGTGAAATCACAGACTGGGGCAGCAATATTACAGCATCGCAGAATCTATATGACTGTACAAAGACATAATGAGGGCTGAGTTTAGTTACGACACTTTTGTAAAAACACAGGCTGAAAGGGGCTTTCATGGCCAATGATACGAACACTCTGCAGTGTGTGTAACAGTTGAAATGATTCACTGAAGCATGGTCCTTTGCTTCATAATCCTTTACTGGATAAATCAATAGTGCTCCTCCTGTTGACAATATGGTTGATTACACTCAAAATAAAAATGGAAGATTTTAATTATTTGACAAATCAGGCAAGTTACATAAGAATTAAAATATTTCCTTCCTCAGCGACTCAATGTAAAAAGGGCCAGCATTGACAAAAAACAAACGTCTTTTAAGATCTCATGGTCAAAGTGATTCAGGCAAATTAGACAGTTCATCTAACAACAAAAGCGCTGATTGTTGCCTTGGATCCTTCCTGTGTTTGGATTCTCACTCCAAACAGACTTGCTCCATTCTGGCTTAAAATCATTCATTGCAAAATGTATTCCGGCTCGGACATGTTGTCATTACTGCTAGTTAGCAGAGGGAAGAAGAAGGCGATATCCTTTATTAATACTATGAGGGAAAATTACTTTGACAACCTTTTATTGAGACATGATACACACACACACTCATAATATATAAATCTGCATGCTTACAACCTGTCTTTGAATGTAATCCAAGCGTAGCCTATAGTGTTGCATCACACCGTGTCGTATTTCATCGCATCAGAACATATGCTATCGTTTCCTATCCTATAGTAAACATAGGTTTGCAGGTATCACTCTTGTAGCACACTATAAACCTCAACCAGTTTCTTTCTGTTACGGCTATAGCATGCATAGTGTGAGATTTCTTACACCAATACAAATTACCCCCAGATTTTTTGGTTAAGGGATATCATTGGCAGCAAGTATAGTGATATTTTTCAGCTAAAAAATGAGTAGACCATTCCTTTTTGGATTGTACAACATTTGTTGCTCAGATATCGATCTGCAAATGTATTCATGAAGCTGCATAACAATGTCATTTAACATGATTTAACACTGTCGACCACTTCTGTGTGTTGTATTCACCTGCTGCAGAGAGTGCTGAGAGCATTGTAAACTACGAAGGTGAAGCTCAATCTTCTGGACAAACTGAGTGATGACACCTTTCAGTCAACACCTGAAGAGAATTAATGAGTCTTGTTTAATCTGCAACACTTTATTATTCTCTTCTGAGAATACCGGCTGGCTGATGTATATCGCTCAGGCTCTTGTTTTGGATTATCTGCTTCAACAAAATGTCAGTGGAGAAAAAGAGATGCCTCTGTGGAAAAAAATGCAGCATTGACTCAAACAAAAAATAAACAATGTGATGCAAAAAACAAAAGGTTTTCCACATTTTTGCACCCTGGCAGCTTGTGTTCCTGTGGAATAAATGTAATCTAAAAAAATGATTTCACAACATTTAATCTGCCCTTTGTGCCTTGATACCATCCTCACCCAAAGAAAAGACAAAAAAGCGATAATTGAACTCTTCATTTCTGAGAATAATCAGGAGGATGAACACTTTCAGTTTTTGTTACTTCTGTAACTTTCCTTTCCCAGAAACAAAGAACACATTGTTTTACTCAACAGATTTGTTGCATCGTCTTGGACCAATGACAAGAAGGTATCGTCATGCTGCAGGATGCTTTGCTAAAATACTCCTCAGAATCTTTCATTGTCATGGAGATGACAAATCAGATGTGTTGTTTCCAGCTCATATTCAAACGCCGCCCACTGACAGTTTTAGATTTTTATGTAAATTTCCCGACATTACAGAGAAAACTGCTACAGAAGCAAAACTTTCTGTTGAGCAGTAAGATGCTTGCTAAATCACAAACAACAGAACTCTCTCATAAACACAGCCTCCTTGGATGTTTTGCAGAAATGTTACGTCACAGACACACGGGAGTTGCTCGGCCACAGCTGCAACTAACCAATCACGGTATAATAACAACCATGTTGTGCAGGTTGAAACGAATGTTTTAGTCGATGTTTTCTTGTGTCTTTGAATGTTGAGATGCAACAGCTGTTTCACCTTAATTTTTTTTTAACTCTTTAAGAAAAAGGTCTTCCTGGAGGGATTCTTTCATAGACGCTTAGAACAACAAATCTGAGCCTCATTTTCTCGGAGGCATCGCTTCTCAGCATCTTCAGTCCTCTCCAGGCTGACAGCTGGACTGATTCAACCAGTGGTTTTTGTAATAATGGTCAAATCAAAGCAATAATTACAGACTTTATATGCAGATTATTAGTTTTAAAGTCATTCAGATGCATAATTGTTTTCCTGATCACTGGAATGTTTGCGTCACACCTCTGATAACTTAACCTTATCTCAGCAGACCGTTTTTGTTCCACCTTGTTTGTGGCGATGACGCTGGTGAATTATTTATGAATATTTGCATAAAAAGAGGACAGTTTATCCCTGAATGACTGCCTAACAGCTAATTTAAATATACGCAGCACCGACGCACTGAAACGATGTTTACTTTGCAGAGATGTCAGGGTGCATGAAACCCCCTGCATGTGTTTTTTGATTTAGACGAGGTCTCTTTTGATTCATTAACACAGGTTTAGCTGGTGCAAAAGCAGCACAGTCATTTAGTGACTCAGGCCCTGAATTTATCAACAACAGCTTGTGTCACCCCAATATTGGTTTTCAATAATGTTCATGGAAAGTCGGGTCATTATGACTGCCTTTACAGTGTTGATCATCAGCCCAAACTCAGTGAACCTAAATATCTGAAAGGTTCTTACACACGTTTGGGTGAAGGTATCTTATCAATATGTTTTTTGGTGTCTTGGGCTTCTCAATGTGTCACTGTTTCACGCGCTGCATCACGTTGGCTGTGCTATCTGTAACGGTCATCAGTCTCTCGCCGTATTTGAACGCTGTTTTTGTTGCTGTTTTTTTACTCCCCTCGCTTTAAAACGAGATCGCATTCTCAATCTTAAAAACCTCACTTGCCTTTTTCTTGTCTGCACTTTTCTCTTCTTCTTCAACCGACTTTGACCAAGAGAAGCCAAAAGCAGGCAGCGCCCTCTGCTGGTGAAGGGTCTTGAACAATACAAATCATAGATTTTAACGGTCCATATTGAGAATCATTTTTAAACATAATGTGAGGTATGGTTGCATCTCTGCTTGTTCAGTCATAAAATAGGGCTCAGGTTTGAATAAAATAAAACATTTTTTGAAGTCTAGTCAGTAAAATACTTTGGTTTAGAGATTTGTGAGGGAATTCATTTCAGTCAAAAGTCCGAGCAGTGATTATGTTCTGTTCCAAAGAGGATATTGTTCTGTTTCTGTAAAAAAATAAAAAACTACAACCATCATCTTCCCCTAACATTAAGCATGAGCCTTCTGGGCTTCAAAACATTTCTTTTTTAATTACATTTTCACCAAATGTGTAGTTTGAATGAGAAACATTTATACTAGAAGAGTCAATTTTTAAACGGCAAAAAGTATGAGTTTAGCAGACATGTTCATTGAAAAAGCCTCCTTAGCTTTTGAAAAAGGAACATGAAAAAACATCAGAGAACAACCTGTTGAACTTTTGATCCAGCTAACTGTTTGAATATATTCATGAATCTTAAACTGTAAACACTTGAAGTTTTAATGTGCTGTGTGAGGTATTTGACATACTTAAAAAAAAGCAAATGATAGCTAATCTACCCCTGACAGTCAACATGAAAGTTTACTCCCTCAGAGAAGAGAATAACTTT